GGCATCTCCCTCTGCACCTCTGGCCAGCTTTTCTCTATGCAGTGGACAGGAGTGGAGTGTCTGATCGGCAGCTCTGTGGTGCCCGCTATGAAGTGGAGTTGGGGGGAAGCATCTAATTTGCAGCTCTGTAGTGCCCAGCATCTCCTTCTGCCCCTCTGGCCAGAAGTTCATGCTGTACAGTAGAGAGGGGCCCCTGACATGGGCAGACACTGACTTCAGTGCACATGCCAAGCGATTTACTTGAGTATTGAAGTCAGTGCCTGCCCGGGTCAGAGGTCCCACCCCTCTCCACTGTGTCCGGAGGGGCGGCGGGAGATGCCAGGCACTACAGAGCTACCAATCAATATGTGAAGCAGAGGTAAGTGACCATGGGGTGACAGAAGCTCTTCTTTAAATAAGGTTGTAGAGATGTATTGGGAGGAAAAGGAGTACAGAGGATACTGAAAGTAAAGTTGCGTGTGTTGGAGAGGTGGTACGGAGATCTTCTGGGGGAAGGGTTGGGGGTGCAGAGATATGCCAGTAGGTACAGGGATGTGTTAGGAGTGTGAGGAGTGAAAAGATATACAGTGGAGTATATAGATGTGCTGGGGGCACAGAAGTGTGCTGGTGGTTATGAAGGATTACTGGGGCATACCAAGATGTGCTGGAGAGATACAGAGGATTCTCAGAGGTACAGAGATGTGTGTGAGAGGGGTAGGTAGACGTGGGGAGGTGTAGAGATGTGCTGTGGGGTGTGGAGGTGTCCTAGGGGTTATGAAGGCATATTGCGGGGTTACAGGCGTGTGCTGTGGAAACAGAGGATGCTGGGAGGGGCAGAGGTGTGCTGGGGGTTGCAGAGGTGTACTGGGGGGAACAATGGCTTTCTGACATATGGAGGTATGCTGGGGGATACAGAGGATTCTAGGAGGTACAGAGGTGTGCAGGAGGTGCAGAGGTCTGCTGAGGGGGACGTATGAAGGCATGCTGGGGGGCACAAATGATGCTGGGAGGTGCAGAGGTGTGTGTGGGGGTGCAGCAATTTGCAAAGGGATCTTGAAGTGTGCTAAGGGGGGGTGTGAAGTTGTGCTAGGGGTACAGGGGTTATCTGGAAGGTACAGTGATGTGCCGGGGGTATGGAGGCTTGCTGAGGGGTATGGAGGCATTCCGTGGTGGGGGGGGGGGGGGGGGGGGGGGGGGCATGTAGAGATCTGTTCACATTACAAGCCTCTTTTGTAGAACCACGCCTAATTTAAAGGCCACATCCCTAATTAAGACATTCTCTGCCTACAATGGCTGGATGACCAGTGACCACATAGCAAAAAAGGTGTACCTGAAAATTTTTTGGAATGGCTGGCAACTATGCAACTCTGGCAGATCAATGGGTATTTTTCTATACTCGCAAGGTCTCTGAAGGAATACATCATAGGTAATTGTACACATATTGCCCATACTGTGATGTACAGCATACAGTATATATACAGTGAGGATCGAAAGTTTGGGCACCCCAGCTAAAAATTTGTATTAATGTGCATAAAGAAGCCAAGGAAAGATGGAAAAATCTCCAAAAGGCATCAAATTACAGATTAGACATTCTTATAATATGTCAACAAAAGTTAGATTTTATTTCCATCATTTACACTTTCAAAATAACAGAAAACAAAAAAATGGCGTCTGCAAAAGTTTGGGCACCCTGCAGAGTTAATATCTTGTACTGCCCCCTTTGGCAAGTATCACAGCTTGTAAACGCTTTTTGTAGCCAGCCAAGAGTCTTTCAATTCTTGTTTGAGGTATCTTTGCCCATTCTTCCTTACAAAAGTCTTCCAGTTCTTTGAGATTTCTGGGCTGTCTGTCACGCACGGCTCTTTTAAGGTCTATCCATAGATTTTCAATGATGTTGAGGTCAGGAGATTGTGAAGGCCATGGCAAAACCTTTAGTTTACGCCTCTTGATGTAATCCCCCGTGGATTTCGAGGTGTGTTTAGGATCATTATCCATTTGTAGAAGCCATCCTCTCTTTAACTTCAGCTTTTTCACAGATGGCATCAAGTTACCATCCACAATTTGCTGAAATTTTATTGAATCCATTTTTCCTTCTACTCGTGAGATGTTCCCTGTGCCACTGGCTGCAACACAACCCCAAAGAATGATTGATCCAACCCCATGCTTAACAGTTGGACAGAGGTTCTTTTCATTAAATTCTGTGCCCCTTCTTCTCCAAACGTACAGTGGGATCAAAGTTTGGGCACCCCAGCTAAAAATTTGTATTAATGTGCATAAAGAAGCCAAGGAAAGATGGAAAAATCTCCAAAAGGCATCAAATTACAGATTAGACATTCTTATAATATGTCAACAAAAGTTAGATTTTATTTCCATCATTTACACTTTCAAAATAACAGAAAACAAAAAAATGGCGTCTGGAAAAGTTTGGGCACCCTGCAGAATTTATAGCATGCACTGCCCCCTTTGCCAAGCTGAGACCTGCCAGTGTCATGGATTGTTCTCAATCATCGTCTGGGAAGACCAGGTGATGTCAATCTCAAAGGTTTTAAATGCCAAGACTCATCTGACCTTGCCCCAACAATCAGCACCATGGGTTCTTCTAAGCAGTTGTCTAGAAAACTGAAACTGAAAATAGTTGACGCTCACAAAGCTGGAGAAGGCTATAAGAAGACAGCAAATTTTGGATGGTAACTTGATGCCATCTGTGAAAAAGCTGAAGTTAAAGAGAGGATGGCTTCTACAAATGGATAATGATCCTAAACACACCTCGAAATCCACGGGGGATTACATCAAGAGGCGTAAACTAAAGGTTTTGCCATGGCCTTCACAATCTCCTGACCTCAACATCATTGAAAATCTATGGATAGACCTTAAAAGAGCCGTGCGTGACAGACAGCCCAGAAATCTCAAAGAACTGGAAGACTTTTGTAAGGAAGAATGGGCAAAGATACCTCAAACAAGAATTGAAAGACTCTTGGCTGGCTACAAAAAGCGTTTACAAGCTGTGATACTTGCCAAAGGGGGCAGTACAAGATATTAACTCTGCAGGGTGCCCAAACTTTTGCAGACGCCATTTTTTTTGTTTTCTGTTATTTTGAAAGTGTAAATGATGGAAATAAAATCTAACTTTTGTTGACATATTATAAGAATGTCTAATCTGTAATTTGATGCCTTTTGGAGATTTTTCCATCTTTCCTTGGCTTCTTTATGCACATTAATACAAATTTTTAGCTGGGGTGCCCAAACTTTCGATCCACACTGTACCTTTGCTCATTCCGGCCAAAAAGTTCAATTTTAACCTCATCGGTCCACAGAACTTGTTTCCAAAATGCATCAGGCTTGTCTATATGTTCATTTGCAAAGTTCAAACGATGATTTTTGTGGTGAGGACGTAGAAGAGGTTTTTCTTCTGATGACTCTTCCATGAAGACCATATTTGTACAAGTATCTCTTTATAGTGGAATAGTGTACCACAACTCCAGTGTCTGCCAGATCTTTCTGGAGGGATCGTGCAGTCAAATGTGGATTTTGAATTGTTTTTCTCACAATCCTGCGAGCTGTTCTGTCTGATATTTTTCTTGGTCTTCCAGATCTTGCTTTAACTTCCACTGTTCCTGATGACTGCCATTTCTTAATTACATTCCGAACAGAGGATATTGACATCTGAAAACGCTTTGCTATCTTCTTAAAGCCTTCTCCAGCTTTGTGAGCGTCAACTATTTTCAGTTTCAGTTTTCTAGACAACTGCTTAGAAGAACCCATGGTGCTGATTGTTGGGGCAAGCTCAGATGATTCTGGGCATTTAAAACCTTTGAGATTGACATCACCTGGTCTTCCCAGACGATGATTGAGAACAATCCATGACACTGGCAGGTCTCAGCTTGGCAGAGGGGGCAGTGCATGCTATAAATTCTGCAGGGTGCCCAAACTTTTGCAGACACCATTTTTTTGTTTTCTGTTATTTTGAAAGTGTAAATGATGGAAATAAAATCTAACTTTTGTTGACATATTATAAGAAAGTCTAATCTGTAATTTGATGCCTTTTGGAGATTTTTCCATCTTTTCTTGGCTTCTTTATGCACATTAATACAAATTTTTAGCTGGGTTGCCCAAACTTTCGATCCCCACAGCCTTCTCTATGTGAGACATGTGGAAACGTGAAAAACATGCAAAAAAAAAAGAGTGTAAAAAGAGTCTAACACAAAGCAGCAGCATTTGGAGCTGAGGTTCGAGATGTTCATTCTGTTCAGTTGGTTGGCTAAGGCCATTTATATTTTGTGCAGCTACTCTCGAGCCCTCTGTTACCCATGTAGCTGCAAGGTAGCACCCGCCCACCATCAACACAATACCAAAGAAACTGAAATGCCCTTAATGACTAATGGCCTGTATATACAGGATATGGGCCAAATGGTCATCCTTTTTTTTTTTGCATTTTAGTCTCCATATCGAAAATTAATTCTCATGCAACAGAATAAAACTATGGAAGTGATATAATGTATTGTATTGAAATGTATTCTTTTGTTTCCGAGTATGCGTGGTCTTGGTCTCTCGATTTTTTTTGGATGTAAACTGTACTGATTAAACGAACATGGTTCATTCTGTTATTGTACAAGAACATTTTTCGTGCTTGTCCCTCCGGATATTGTCGCATGAGCTGACATAATTGGTGAGTGAAAGCTGTGTACTAATGAACAGATTCTCTATTATATTATGATCCCTCCCAAGCAATTTTTGTCATCTGATTTTCTGATCGTGTGTAAAAATTGTCCCAGAATTCATGCACCCTGGTGATTGAATTATAAAATTAGAACAGGGGTGGTTCCAGAAACATTAATATCTCCCATTGTGTTCTTGGACAATCAACATTTACTGTTAGGAATGGACTGGCCAGCAATGGTGGGACTCACCTGCCTTTTGATCTGCAGTACCAGGGCTGGCCAGCGGGTGCTCCCAGCAATCAGAGACTCAACCTTTCAGCCAGCTAACACCTGGAACTGATGATACTGGTGTATTTAAGGGATGGCCAGACTTGCAGACTCTGCCTTGGTGTTGTGTTTGTCCTGGGCCCTGTATCTGTCCTGCATCCTGTTTCTGTTCCTTTGCTGACTTCTCCTGCTCTGATCCTGGCTTGTGACCCTGACCATCCCTCTGTCTGACCCTCTGTACTACACTGCTTGCTACCTGTTCTGATCCCTGGCTTGTGACCCGGACCATCCCTCTGCCTGACCCTCTGTACTATGCTGCTTGCTACCTGCTGAACCTGGCCTGTGACCCCGACCATTCTCCGCTTGCTCCCCCTGTACCTACCTGCCCAATTGATATTGACCCGGCCTGCCTGACGACGCTTGCTTGTATATACTGTTATCTGTGGGTGGTTTGGTTTGGTTTGTTTGCACCGTATTATGTTTTAGTATTGCACTGCGTTTATGTTTGTACTGTTAGTGTTAATAAATTATATTGTTTATAACATATCTGAGGTCTGCGTTTCCCTGCTTCAGTCACACACCTC